AAGAGAGAGCTAGGCCATCAAGTTGAGCAGCGAGGTCCAGTTCCCCTGGCTCCATAAACAGTAAGACTATTTCCTTTCTTTAACTTACCTTCTGGGGCTTCCCTGGTGGTCCAGTGGTTTAGGAATCCACCTGTCAATACAAGGGACACAGGTTTGATCCCTGGCCTGGGAGGATCTCACATGCTGCTGGACAAATAATCCTGTGCACCACAACTAGAGCTGGAAGTCTAGCGCCTGCAAGCTGCAACTGCTGAAGCCCATGAGCCTAGAGCCTGTGCTCTGTAACAAGAGAAGCCAATGCAGTGAGAAGCCCCCCCGTGAGGACCACAACTAGAGTGTAGCCCCCGCTCACGGCAACCAGAGAAGGCCTGCATCCAGCAGTGAAGACCCATCATGGCCAAACAATAAATAAATAAATGACTCACTTTCTGATCCTCTTCAAGGCACAAACATCCATTTCTACACGTTTATGTGAGCACATGGGTCCTCTTTGGGAATTTGCTTTTATCTAACGGTATTCCAAACATGAAGAAAGGGACTTGGGAAATTATCTGACCCCCTTTTTGAAGAGCATTGTGACCTAATGGTTAGAATGTGGGGTTTGGAGGTAGGCAGACAAGGATTCAGATCCCAGACAGGCAAGCTGTGTACTCACAGATAAATTACTTGACTTCTCCATGCATCAGTTTCCTCACCTGTGGGACAGGGATAAGAATGTTTCTCTTGGGACTTCCCTGGCAGTCCAGTGGTTAAGACTCCATGCCTCTAAAGCTGGGGGTGCAGGTTCAATCCCTGATTAAGGAGCTAAGATTCCACATGTCCCATGGCACTGCCAAAAAAAGAATTCAATATCAAAAATAAAGACATGTCTCAATAAAATTAAATAGAGTGCTCCTCTCACCTGGCTAGAAGAGGATAAAAGGGGATAGGCAGCATAGGCAACACTCCAGCCAAGTCCTATTCCCAGGCAATTGCTCAATTTCTGTCATTTTGGTCCTTCTGATTGAGACATGTAGTAGGCTCAGAAAGTTTCCCTGTTTGGGATAATATTTGTATGAGCTTTTTATTGCTATACAACAAGCTGCTCTAAAACTTCGTGGTTCATGTAAACATACGTTAATTATCTCACAGCTTCTGTGGGTCAGGAGTCTGAGCACAGCTTCCCTAGGTCTTCTGCTTTGGAGTCTCTCCAAGGCTGAGTTAGGGAGTGAGGCAGGGCTGAGGTCTCATTTGAATGCTCTGCTGAGGAAGGATTCACTTTGAAGCTCAGCGAGTTGTTGGCAGGACTGATGTCTCTTGGGCTGCACGACTGATGGCCGCAGTGCTTGTTGGGTGTTGGTTAGAGGTTTCCCTTCATTCCTTGCATATGAGCCTCTTCAACTGTGCAGCTTGCTTCACCAAAGCATGCAAGCCAAGAAGACAACAGAGTTGGCAAATAAGATGAAAGACCTGACCTTCTGGGACTGGATCACAGAAGTGACATCTTATCACTTTGGCCACATTCTACAGTCAGAAATAAGTCTCTGGGCCAGTCCTCATTCAGTTGAAGGATGTGACAACCAGGAGACAGGAGTCTTTAGCTCAGGCAGACTGTAAAATGGTTTCGTTCAACTAGAATTTTCTGGTGACTTTTATGTGCCAGGTACTGTCCTTGAGCTGGGAATAAAAAAGTAGATGAGCTGGGGTTTCTATCTCCCAGGAATTTTTCTCTTCAAGGTATTTTCTGCTTTGAGTTCTCACCCATTTTTCCCTGATGTGAAGACTTTGGGACCTAGGTAAGATCTTTGTTGAGGGAAGGAAGGAAATTACAAACTCCCTAATGAAGACGAGGTAACCAGACCTTTTCCCTCCATCAAAGGGTGCTCAGAGGGAAGACACGTGCACAAAGGGTGAGCTGGTTCTGAGGTGCATTTGCAGAGCAGTGATCACTGTGTTAGGTACTGTGGACACAAAGGTGCTGTGCTCCCCTGGTTCAAACCTCGCCTGGGGGTGCACACCGGGTGATGAGGAGAAGGCAGGTAAGCTCACAGGTTCAGCCTGGAGGGAGGCCAGATCCACTCCACAGCAGAGGCCAGATCCATAGGTGCAGTTGGCATAGCAGTTCTCCTTAAAACAAAAAGAGTTATAGCTTTGAAAAGGCTGGAAAGCTGCACCAAAGCTTTGCATCCAGTCCCATCACTTCATGGCAAATAAATGGGGAAACAATGGAAACAGTGACAGACTATTTTCTTGGGCTCCAAAATCACTGCAGATGGTGACTGCAGCCATGAAATTAAAGATGTTTGCTCCTCAGAAGAAAAGCTATAACAAATCTAGACAACATATTAAAAAGCAGAGACATTACTTTGCTGACAAAGGTTTATCTAGTCAAAGCTATGGTTTTTTCAGTAGTCATGTATGGATGTGAGAGTTGAATCATAAGAATTGATGCTTTTGAACTGGTGTTGGAAAAGACTCTTGAGAGTCCCTTGGACTGCAAGGAGATCAAACCAGGCAATCCTAAAGGAAATCAGTCCTGAATATTCATTAGAAGGACTGATGATGAAGCTGAAGCTGAAGCTCCAATACTTTGGCCACCTGATGCGAAGAAATGACTCATTTGCAAAGACCCTGATGCTGGGAAAAATTGAAGGCAGGAAGAGAAGGGGACAACAGAGAATGAGATGGTTGGATGGCATCACCAACTCAATGGACATGAGTTTGAGCAGGATCCAGGAGTTGGTGATGGTCAGGGAAGCGTGCTGCAGTCCACGGGGTTGCAAAGAGTCGAAAAGGACTGGCTGACTAAACTGAACTGAAGTTTTGCTCTACACTAGGGGGCATTGGTGGCTTGATTTCAGAGCAGCAGAGGTTCCCTTCTCCAACATGACCCCTTTCCTCCACTCTGAACTCCGCCTCAGAGAGGCCAGAGCGGATTGTTACAAGGAGGGAACAGATACAAACTTCTATCCTTTGTAAAAAAATCAGTTCCGCTCCTCTAAAGGAACTTCAGCTTCCTTGGGTAACCACTGGACTCTAATGGGGACTGCCAGTCACAGACTCTAACTCCTCTTGGCCATAGGGATGGACTTGGTATCCAAGCTGGATCAATCTCCCAACCCTTTGCCTATAAAACATGTGACCCAAGCCAAGCCAATCAGAGACCTTCCCTGGAATTTTTTCCTGGATGAGGCTGACAGGGAAGAGACCCTTTTCCCAATCGGTCAGGATACAGCTGCTGGAAGCCATGTTTTCAGTCATGTAAGAAAAGAAAATCAAGCCCAACACAGAAGGATGAGACAAAGAAAGAGCATCAAATCCCTGGCTCCTATCCTTCTTCGGGGAAGCTTTACTCCTCCCTTCCTGGACATGTGATCCACTAATCTTTTTATTCACCTGAAATAATTCAAACTGGGTTTCTATCATTCTCTGACCACAGGACCCTAAATTACAAGTCTACCACTTAACCATTGCAGTTCAAGTGAAAGCTACACATCTTCCTGGGAGAAGTGATCCAGAGGTCCAAACTCTTAAGTATAAATGACTGATGTCAGTTCTTTTCTTGTGAGTATAGATTTATCTGGAAACACACAGTGCACTGTAAGCCTAAACGTAGAGACAGTCAAGACCCCCTTCATCATATTCACGAGTAAAAAGAGGTTATGATTCAGATCCAGAAAACCTGGATTTGAAGCCTGGCTCTACCAGTAAGTGGCAACTTACTTCATTTCTCTGGGCATCCATTTCTTCATCTGTAAAACGGGAATATATTTCTCCCTTTCTACCTTACAAGGTTGTCATGTCAAAAAATATCAACATTATTTTGTCTCTCTGCAGCCATCATCCCTGGATGTGGTCTTTTGAACACATCTTAACATTTTATTCAGGTAAGTGCCAATGAACAAAACTGAATAACTCATCTCACCAGTAGGGTTCAGCATCTAAGGATAAAGTCAAGGATAAGCAGGGTTTAAAGCAGGAAAGAGGAGTGGACCTCCATCAACAGAGCGATAGTGTTAGTCTGGACCTTTGCTTCGTGGGGATCCAGATTATTTTCATCATTTTTTCAATCTAATTTCTAAATTTTCTTTCTTTTCATTTCAAAAAATAATAAATATGCAAGTGAGAAAATTTCCAAAAAATACAGAGAAGCATAAAACTAAACCAATCAACTCCAGTCTCAGTCCTAGTCTCCTGAGATAACCACTATTAACGGTTCTTGTGTATCCATCACAGCCTTTTTATTCAGATGCCAACGTTTATTTCCATAAATGCATCTTACTGAATACACTCTGCTCCATACTTTGTTGGTATTGTTTTAATTAAGGTCTTGAAGGTCTTTACATATCATTATATAAGTTTGTTTTGTTCTGTTTTAGAGATTAGAATCCTTCCGCTACCAATGTTCTGGGTTTCCTGGTTCTGGCGTCCAGCACAGGATTCAACAAATGTTAAAATGAAGATAGACGCTAGGGAAAGCGGGAGAGAAGGGAGGAATCAGAAAGGAAGTAAGGTGATAAAAAGATAAGAAAAAGGATGAAAGGAAGAAGGGGCAAGAAGGAGGGAGAGAGGGTAGGAATCAAGGCAGGAAAGAGAGGCAGACAGAAAAACCGGAATTTCAGAGCGGTGGACCCCGCCCTGGCCCCACCCACGAGCCGGACTCCGCCCCCGAGCCGACTCCGCCCCCAGGTCTCAGACTGCAGTGCCACCTCCAGCCGCCAGGGGCCGCCACGCCCAGCCGACCACTCTCTGCGCGCGCGGCAGGCCCTCTCTCCCGCTTCCGCGCCGGCCACTCGCCAACCTGCCGCCGCTCTCCGGCTCCGGCTGGGTCTCGCGCGCTCGGGCGCGGCTGGGTCTATTCGTGAGGGACCTCGCGCCGCTCGGCGCACGCCGTCCCCCTGCCTCGCGGCGCGGGGTCTCGCGGGCCCCGCTCCCGCCCTCCGCTCGCCTGGCCCGGACCGGAAGCGGCGCCGCACGGCCTGGGCCTGGCGCGGGGGGCGGGCACCGGGGCCCGATCGGACATGGGCAAGAAGCACAAAAAGCACAAGTCGGACAAACACCTCTACGAGGGTGAGGAGTGGGCCACGGTGGGGGGCGGCGAGCCCACGGCCGCTCGGTGGAGTTTTCGTGCCTTCGAGACAACTCTCCCGCTTCCGAGGCGGGCCGGGGGTCGCACCTCCGGCGGGCAGGCCTGGACCCGCGAAGGGGGCGCGGCCCGCCTGAGACGCGCCAGACCCCCCAGGCGGGGGCGGCGTTCGAACCCGGGACGTCCGGCTGGGGCGGGACTCCGGGTGGGAGGTGTGAGGCGGTCCCCAGAGGCCCGGGAGCGTTCGGGGCGTCCACTTGGCGAGTGTCCGTCATTCAACAGGTGCGCCGAGGGGCGCCCATTGCGTGCCATTGGCCGCCTCAGACTGACTCTCCCTACCCAGTTTTACTCTGCGTTGTGGATACTGCCCGGCGAGGCTCTCCATTAATCGAGACCCTTTCCTTTCGTTTAAGAGTATGTAGAGAAGCCCCTGAAGCTGGTCCTCAAAGTGGGAGGGAACGAGGTGACCGAGCTCTCCACGGGCAGCTCTGGGCACGACTCCAGCCTCTTTGAAGACAAAAGCGATCATGATAAACACAAAGAGAGAAAGCGGAAAAAGAGAAAGAAAGGAGAGAAGCAGATTCCAGGGGAAGAAAAGGGGAGAAAACGGAGACGTGTAAAGGTAAAGGGTTGTTGCGTTGCTTCAGCTTTGAAGGTGGTACCACTTTCTGAGCGTTGCCGCCTCTCCCTGCCAACCTCACTTTATTTTGTGTCCAGTGAGATGCTGAAACGCCTATAAAATCGGGCTGACTTTGAGGAAGAGCAGGGCAGAATGGAAACATCAGTCATCTATGAGTTTCAACAGCTCTTTAATTATGTTGTTAGTTGTACTCACACATCAGATGAGTGACCAGTGAAGTCCTCAGCGAAGTCTTCATTTTCAGGAGCTGCTTCAAAGTATGCTTTCCATCTAGGAAAGGTAAAAGTCATGCTCTAGCAAAGCTCAGTTTCCAAGGTTTTGGGGAAACAGTCATATCAAAAGTAACTGTGTTGTCACAGGGCGCCAGATTTGAGCCCCCTGCATCATACAGCAAATTCCCACTGGCTGTGTAATTTTACACATGGTAATGTAAATGTTTCAGTGCTGCTCTCTTAGTTCGCACCACCGTTTTCTTCCCCCCTCTGGGAGCTGGGAGGGAGGTTCAAGAGGGAATACATGTATACCTGTGGCTGATTGATGTTGATACATGGCAGAAACCAATAGAATATTGTAGTTAACCTCCAATTAAAAATAAATTTAAATTTTTTTTAAAAAGTAAATGGGATTTATTGGGATTCAGATTTTGTTCTGAAATACTGTAATGCCAAATACATAATGAATGACTTTCATCTTTTAAGACAAAGTCTGAGTCTGTTGAAGAGATAATTTGATCAGAAACCTTCAAGGGATATGACAGCAGTAATAAAAATAAGCATTTTCTCAACCACTTGCAGTTACTAAAGGAAAAAAGAAAGTGGCTGCCACCCCTGTTTGTCATCTGGGTGAAACAGTAATAATAAACTTTCCTTCCAAGGATGATCACATATGTACCTGGAATTGTCCTAGACTACTTTTTGCACTTCCCAAATTTAACCTGTCACCAAGTAACTTACTGAATCATTTACTGGAACTTGAAGCTAAATTTCTGTAGGCTTATTTTTATAATTTTTTTATATTTATATATACAACAGAAATGTCCTAGACCATGTGATTAAACACGTTAAGTCCCTAAATCGTAGTCTCTTTTTGGAATTTCCTATTTATGTCTTTCTGCCCCAGTGTTTATTGCCTTTGTCTATTCTGTGACTAAACATAGAACTGTCAAATGTTTTTTCCCCTAAATTGTAAAAGCCGTGATTTTTTAATTCAAGTGATACAGAAGTGAACAAGAAGGAGGAGAGAAAAAGTTTTCCTCACTCAGGTATCTCATTTAGTCTTTCTCTCCAGAAGTAACCAGTTTTGTTTGGGGGGATTGTTTTTTAATTATTTATTATTACAGGATAAAGTAATTTATGAGCATAGTTTTAAAAAGTCAAGAGTACTATTAATACATTTAAACATAAAAGTAAACTCCTGTTCCATCCTTCCCAAACTTTTTAGTTTTTTCTTTGGATATTGATCTCCATTTCTAAATGTTGGTTTATGTTGCCGTTTACTGATTTTATTTGTACATCTTTTATTGACATCATGTTACTGAAGATGAGAATTTAAATTAATGTCCTTATATAGCTCCATGCCTCCAGTTTCCCTTCCTGCATTCTCCCACTGTAAATACATCTCAGTTCTTAGTAAATTCAATATTCAGTGTTCATTTCTAATTATTGTTTATTGGAGACAAATGTAATATACAGATACAGGTCTGATATTGATCAGTTGGCTAATTGCTTTCATTTGTTTGGTTGTTCTGTACTCATTCTTCAAACTCTTAACAGTTTTGTAAAAGCTACCTAGTTTCTTCTGTTTTTCACATGGGCAAACCCGTCCCCCTTTTTTTTGAAACATCTGTCTTGCGTCCGTCCGTCTCTGTCACTACCTGCTCTGACCTGGATTAGTTGATTGGACCTGCTTTGCTTGCTTTTGGACCCCATATCTTTCTCTTGATTTACTCCTTTGTTGTGGTGAAGTCTTAACGCTACAAACCCCCTAAGAAAGCATTCATAGGAGGTAGATTTTTGTAGGTTCTTACATGTTTGAAAAATTTTATTGTACTCTCATATATTCTTCTCATTTGACTCAGCATGGAACTCCAAATTGGAAGTTATTTTCTCCCAGAATTTTGAAAGCATTGCTTGTTGTTTTCTAGCTTCCAGATTTGCTGCCGAGAAGTCTGTTTCCTTCTGATTTTTAGTTCTTTGAACATGGCTAGTATGTGCTCTCTCAAAACGTTTAGGATCTTTCCATTATCTTCAGTGCTCTGTTGCTTTCAGTTCCGAGATGTTTGCTTGAAGTGTTTCTATGATAATTTCCTTTCCTCCATTCTCTCTTCTCTCTTTCCAGAGCCCCTGCTATTAGATGTTGGACTCCTCGACTGGTTCTCTAATTTTCTTGTGTTTTTTTTTTCTCCTCTGTTTTTTTTTATTCTTCCTTCAAAGACAGTTCCTGAACTTTGTCTTCTGGCTCTGGTCTTGAATTTTATTTCAGATCTTGTATTTTGAGTTTCCAAGAACTTTTTTATATTCTCTAACCGTCCTTGTTTTAATAGCATCCTATTCTTTTTACATGGGGTATCTTTAATTTCTCTGAGATACAAATTGATGGGGGTTTTTTGGTATTTATCTTTTAAGTTTTCTTTTTCTTCTTGCATTGTTTCTATTTTCCCCTCAAGTTTCTTCAGTTTATTTATTCCATCTCTTCCTTTAGTGTCAGAAGCATCATTGGTTATCTGTTAGGCCTTTGTAATCTATTTTATATTTAAATGTGAAGCACAGAAAGGCAGATTACATGCTTTGTGCCTAGACAGAGTTTGTCAGCTGATGGCCTTCACTGTGGGCATCACTAACAGGGACCTGATCGCTTTGATCAGGAACCACCAAAGTTTTACCCTTTCCCAGGTTTCTGGGGTTAGAACTTTTCTCACAGGTGTCTCCTTCCTTGTTGGCAGGAAGTATCTTGTTTGCTCTCATCTGGAGACTCCTCCACTTGCCTTTTGTCTCCCGAATGTGTTGGCATCTTTTATCCACTGTGGTCTCCTCTACTCTTTCTTCCCACCACCATCTCATTTAACTGGAAGTTGAGGTAACTCCTTTTAACCACTTCTGGTTTTAGTTCTGGCAGTTAAGTCTACTGTTAACGCCAGCTAATATAGTTTTCATTTCTTGTTTTATCAGTTATCTCATCTTTTTATTAAATACACTGAATTTGATTATATTGCTGTACCATATTTTATTTTATATAACTTAAATGTTACAGGTAATGGTACAGTGAACCTCACTGGTCACATCTCTTTGTATCCTTTTATAAGGATATCTTCAAGATAGGTTCCTGCAAGTCTCTCCCTCTGCCCTGTCTTGACTGTGGCTTTGAGTGTCATTAGCCACCTGTATCTTTTTATTTCATTGCAAACTAAGATGCTTTTGCATCCACCATTTCATTTGGACATAATACCCTGCAGAGTAGGGCAGGTAGGTTAATGATTTCCACTGTGAAAGTGAAAAGTGAAAGTCGCTCAGTCATGTCTAATTCTTTGCGACCCCATGGACTATTCAGTCCATGGAATTCTCCAGGCCAGAATACTGGAGTGGGTAGCCTTTCCTTCTCCAGAGGGTCTTTCCAACCCAGGGATCGAACCCAGGTCTCCCACATTGCAGGCGGATTCTTTACCAGCTGAGACACAAGGGAAGCCCAAGAATACTGGAGTGGGTAGCCTATCCCTTCTCCAGGGGATCTTACCAACCCAGGAATCGAACCAGGGTCTCTTGCATTGCAGGTGGATTCTTTACCAACTGAGCTATGAGGGAAGCACTGTATAAGAGGTAAAGTGGAAACTGAAAGAAGTGAAGTGAATTTGCCCATGTTCCACTTTCCCAGGACTCAGGGGGAACCATGAGACACTTCTGGGGTGTCATTGATTCTGTAGAGGCCTTTTGGGTCATCCTTTTTTTTTCAAACTGACTGGGGAGGAGGGTGGGACACTTCAGAAGAACACCTCTCTCCAGGCTGTGCTCTGGATCTCCAGGGAGTTTTAGTAACAGCAGCTGCCCCTGGTATTTTCTTGGGGAAGGTCAGCTTTGTAACACTTGTGGGCCTGAAAGGGGCTGGAGTGTATGTGGTTCTGAGGAACTGATGACTCTCCTGTCAGTTCCATGTAGCAGGAAGAAGGAAGGGCAGAAGAAAAGAATAAAACATGAGAGGTAAGAAAGCCTTCCTCCATAAACAATACAAAGAAATAGAGGAAGACACTAGAACGAGAAAGACTAGAGATCTCTTCAAGGAAACTATAGATTCTAAGGGAACAATTCATGCAAAGATGGGCACAATAAAGGGTAGGAACAGTATGGACCTAACAGAAGCAGAAGATACTAAGAAAAGGTGACAAGAATACACAGAAGAACTGTACAAAAAAGATGTTAATGACCCAGATAATCATGATGACGTGATGACTCACCTAGAGCCAGAATACTTGGAGTTCGAAGTCACATGGCCTTAGGAAGCATCACTGCGAACAAAGCTAGTGGAGGTGATGGAGTTCCAGCCGAGCTATTTTCAGATCCTAAGAGATGATGCTGTTAAAGTGCTACACTTAATATACCGGCAAATTTGGAAAACTCTGTGGTGGCCACAGGACTGGAAAATGTCAGTTTTCATTCCAGTCCCAAAGAAGGGCAGTGCCAAAGAATGTTCAAACTACCACACAGTTGCACTCATTTCACATGCTAGCAAAGTTGTGCTCAAAATTCTCCAAGCTAGGCTTCAATAGTACATGACCAAGAACTTCCAGATGTTCAAGCTAGATTTAGAAATGGCAGAGGAACCAGAGATCAAATTGCCAGTATCCTTTGGATCATAGAAAAAGCAAGATATTCCAAAAGGACATCTGCTTCATTGACTACGCTAAAGCCTTTGACTGAGTGGATCACAACAAACTGTGGAAAATTTTTCAAGAGATAGGAATTCCAGATCACCTTACCTGCCTCCTGTGAAAC